TTCTCTCTTACTACCTCTTTCTCTATATAATCTATTGTTTACCAATTGTGTGATGGTATGTTTCATAATTACACCCTTCACAAAATCTAATCTCTAACTTAATTGTGCTATGATCAAAGAACGCTAAAAATAATGCAATTGTCGTCTATGAACATAAATATGATCCAGAGTTAGTTAGTGAACACGATAATATTTTTAACTTGCACAAATTATATCCCATTATATTATTCGTTATTTACTATATCATGTATAAGAGAGTTGTTCAAAATATTTGACACTGCATATTAAAGAAGAACAATAGATAGCAAGTTGCGAGATAGAAAGATGACTTGAATTGACCCTAAACTATAAAATCAAATCTTTGTAGAATTTCAAAGTTTACAGAAACAACAACATAAGAAGGATAAGATATATGAGAAACACATGTTTAAAACCTTATAAGCTTACCATTTGATATAAGAAGCAACCCCAAAACTTCAAAAATTACTAAGTATTTGAAGGAAGATGGAAGTGTTGTTGAAGAAATGTTGACAAGATGCTTATTATTAAAAGGTTTAATTGTAACTTTGGTCCCATGTTTAGTTGTTTTCTTAATTTTGATTCCTCCATTATAAAAATCACTATTTTAGTCTATTTTTTAAATTTTATGTCTAATTTTGGTCCCTCTTCAAATTTGAGTGTATTTTTGTATGACGTGGCACAATTTTTGCTTATGTGTGAATGTCGTGTCATTTTAATATTAATATAATTATTTTTTATTTCAAATAATGAAACATTTATTGTTTTGGTGTTAAATGTTAAAATTCAAAAACATAAAATCCTCAAAATAATTGTCTCACATGAGACTGGAACCTTTGCCCTTCCACTTAAAATACCAACATCCTTACCACTGGGATATGCAGATTCATTTGGTAATTTTCCAAACAATTTTTATATATAGTATATATTTAGAACATGAAGTATAGTATTTAGAACATATAAATTTAATACTACAAATGCTAGAGTGATTCTGCTAAATTTGCTAGATTTAGAACATAGTGATAAAGTGATTCTGCTAAATTTGATGGTGGATTACAGAGTTGTTCGTAGCAGGAGCGGAAGATGAAGTGAGGACCGACTGGGTTTGTGTCGCGAGCGTAGCTGTTTGAGAGATTGCAAGAGGAGTATTGTTATTGTTTGGAATTGCATAGGAAGATGGTGTAAACAGTTACGTGACAAGGGACGCCAGAAAGAGCTTATGTGGCCAGAAATTAGAACAAGTGGGTGTGACAAAATCTGGAGGTTGGGTCGATGGTGAGGATGAACTGTGAAGTTGCGGTTTATTGTTGTTCAATCAGTGAGAAAGGAGGAAATAGAAGTTGCTAGTGGTGTTAGCAGCGAAAAAGGAAGGAAGATTAATAGATGAATTCATTTCAATTTATATGTTCTAAATATTATATATATATATATATATATATATATATATATATATATATATATATATATATATATATATATATATATATATATATATATATATATATATATATATATATATATATATATATATATATATATATATATATATATAAATTGTTTGGAAAATTAACAAATAAATTTGTATAGCCAAGTGGTAGGGGCGTTGGTATTTTAAGTGAAAGGGCAAAACTTCGAGTCTCGTGTAAGACAATTATTTTGAGGATTTTATGTTTTTGAATTTTAACATTTAACACCAAAACAATAAAGGTTTTATTATTTGAAATAAAAAATAATTATATTAATATTAAAATGACATGGCATTGGCACATAAGCAAAAATTGTGCCACATCATATAAAAATACACTCAGATTTGAAGGGGACCAAAATTCAACAGAATTGAATAAAAAATACACTAAAATATTAATTTTTATAATGAAGGAATCAAAATAAATAAAAAATAGCTAAACAGGGGGACTTAAGTTGCAATTAAGCCTTAAAAAAATAAAATATTGACGAAATATTTTGATAATGAGGGATTTGGAAAAAAGAGTGAAAAGTGTAAACAAAAAACGATTAAAAATCCCTATTTTTCAATTTGATATGCATTTTTTTATTGGAGACTTATTAAATTGAGATTAAGGGTAGTACACTGTCAGTGTAAACATATATAAGAGTAACTAAAATGAGGAAACATTTCCAAGATAACGTAAATTGGCTTATTGTTAACCTACTAGCATGGTATGATTCCTATGTTGTCCATTTTTTCTAGAATTTAATTGAAATGCATTGTGTAAAAGGATTTTATACAATCACTTAATCATAGACGTTGAATGTTAGAAGAACTTTTATTTTAATCACCTATAAAGTAATATAAATGGATGATGGTGATGAATTACAGTGTAAATTTTTTTAAACTGACAATACGTCGTAATTAATCTCTTTTTATAAAGCAAATGATTTAATTTAAATTTAGGATTCAATAGAGATGCACTGATAGTATAAAAAAGTTTCTTACCTTCTTACATGAGTTAGATCTAAACCTTATAAAGAGTTTCTCACCTCCTTACATGAGCTAGCTCTAAACCCTACAATATACCCTAAAGACTCTAACATCTCTTAATTCCTAGGAGTTATCACGTAATGTGTTTTTAATAAGTATAATTGGTGTCCACTGTGGGGCCCTGGTAAAATTGAAATAGGCCACCATAACAACACTCTTTTGCATTATCGTCCTCACGTTCAACCTCTCTAACCATCACGGTGAACAAAAAGACAACTACTCATGCTAGCGAAGAATCTAAAGGCGAAGAAAATGACATGGTAAAGATGTGTGCTGCTATGGATGATTACATCTCTAGAATCAAACTTTAGAGGATAACATCCTTCATATCCAGCAACCTCAACAAGGAGTAGACCTTACAGACGAGGTGAAGATGTTAGACCCTGACCTCTCTCAGACGAGATACAGGAGAAACTCGTTCTTGAGAACTTTAAGCCTCTTTCATTGGTTAAGTTTGACAGGTGCAGCGATCCATACGAACGTGTTGCATCCATCAACATGCAGATGCCATCATTGGATCCCCTGACTCATTGAAATGCAAGCTTCTCTCTAGAACTTTTGAAGATGCTTCCCTGAGGTGGTATAGGACCTGTCTCGACTCTCTATCATCAATTATCATAACTTAGTGAAAAAACTAGTTCACCACTTTGCAACAAGCAGACACAAAGACGGTCCCCATCGGTCTCTTTAAGATTCACCAAGGCCCTTATAAATTTTTAAGGGAGTACCTCGCCCGCTTTAACGAGGAGATAATCAAGGTAATTCATCCAAACTAGGAAATGTATGTATGAGAATTTCAAAATAGACTTAGAGATGAACACATCAATGAATCCTTCACCTAGAGGTCAGCTAGGCCCTTGGCTGAAATAGAGACACCGACATAATGTTACATCAAGGGCGGGGAAAGTAATACTGAAAAGAAAGGTCTGAGATGCGAAAAATGCACCTTCAATGCTGACAGCTCACATCAATCACAGAGGATTCAGTACACAACGTCCTTTAGAGATAAAACATCGTTCAAGCAAGGTGAAAAATCCACCAAGAACTTCACATCTTTGATAAATCTCCATTAAGCAGGAATAGAGAGAAGTCCTTCACATGCATAACACCCCACAACCGCCAAGTCCAAAGGTAGACATCATGGGACTGATTCTAACAATTGGTGAATGTAGTACAAAGTCAAGGGAGACCATACTGAAGATTATTATCATTTTAAGAAGGAGATAAATAGTCTAATCCAGGAGGAGCACCTGAAGAAGTATGTCAATGGTGAATTTTCTCGAGGGTCTGGCGAATCTAACTCTTGCGGGAAATATGCCTCGTGGAGTCCTGGATCCAAGAAAGGAAAGGATTCGAGCAATGGATGTGACAACAAAGTTGTTTACCATACTCTTGATACCATCACAAGAGGATTTATCGAGGACGGAGAGATCACATATGCTCGTAAAAGGCATGCTCGCCAAACCCTAACCATTGAAGGTTCACTCATTGAATATGATTTAGGTGAACTAGGACTACGAGAAAATAAATGTTTTGTGATGTTTAAGTTGTGGCAGTTCAACTTTAACTGTATTCTTCCACATATTACTATAGTTGTCACGATGATTTTGGACAATTGTCTATGGACTGCAGTGATTGGGGAACCGCCTCCCTGAAAGGCATGACAAAACTATAAAAAAAATTAGGGGTTGCATTACAAGGTTGTAGGAAGAAGGATTGATCGCCTTGTTCGAAGAAAATAAGGTTTTATGAAGAGAGATCACCGACAAGACCAACGGGCTAGGCAGATTATACTGTCCAAAAAAGTACAGGTGTGTGTGTTCCCCCTGCAAGGATTGGGAGACTAATAGGCTCTAGTAGGTATATTAAGCGTTTGAGGGTGAGTGTTAACTCACAATTGCGAGTAGTCCTGTATAGTGGTTTTTAAGGCTGTTTACTGGACCAACTTACGTGAGGTGAGAGTTTCTATTGGTGACCGGCGCTGCTAGGTTACAGACGAGCGGATATGATGATGCCGTTAGGATTACTCGAAGCGGAGTGATATCTGAGTAGCATTGGGCAGTGGTAAGTACATATTAAGATGAATTAAGATGAATTGGTAACAAATAAACATGTTACAGTGTAATACAAAATTGAAAACCACTTACAAATTAGTTACTGCTTTGTATAACCACACATACTACAATAATATTCAAGTAAATGCCTCACAAAGCCTTTGTACTCTGAGGCATAAAAATGAATACAATATGCTAAAAGATGTCAAAGGAATTGGATATCATCCCTAAAATAAGCACTTAAATTTACATAGCTCCAATCCAATGCATTGGATGTAGACTCTTAATTAGTTGAGTTCAATGTAAGATGTATTATAGTACAGAGAAGATGAATGCCCTTGTGAAAAATTAATGGGCAAAAAACTATATTGGGTGATTATATTATGCTTCTATAGTACAATAATAATCTTCAAACAACCTTGAATTCATCATGTCTTGTTCTTAGACTTTCGTTGAGGTTTCAGATCCACGACTATCACGGTTATGTTGTCTTTGCTTCCTTTCTGAAGAGCGCGGTTCGAGAGGAACTCTGCTGCTGCTTGTGCGGCAGGATCACTCGTCTCCCCCCTTTCTGATGGTAGTTCTGAGTTGTTTTTCTTGTACCAAAGAAGTATTCGTTTTCGAGCTAGGTCACAGACCTCTTCGTTTGTCATCACATCCCATAGACCGTCGCTGGCTAGAATGAGACATTCGTCTTCTTTTGCACGAGGAATGAATTGAACTTCTGGTTCCGGAATAATCCACGGTTTCAAATATCTGTCACCTGAAAATCACAGCCAAAGTAAAAGCACAAATGATTACATCTTCTATTCGGTATGACTACAATGTTTCCATTGTCAGAAATATTCAGATAGCAATGGTAACCAATGTGATTTTCTAAATCTTCTCAACTCACATCCTCTAACTAACTGCCTAAAGGAGTACCAATAAAAGATATAATTTATGAAGCACAGACACATATCATTTGGCGTGTCTCTGTGTCAGACATGTGTCGGTGTCCAGATTCTGTGTTTTGTGAGAGCAATGTTGACATGCCAGTGTATGTCATGTGTCGAAGTCGGTACTTCATAGGATACTAGCTAGATAAAACCCAAATAAAGTAAAATTTATGATTGCGAAGACATACCAATAGACCTTGACATTGCAAGAACACCAAATACACGATGACCATTCCATTGAATCACTTTTCCTCCCGCTGCTTCAATTCTAGCATATTCATCTTCTCGGTTCGGCTAGCATATCAAAACAAAAAAAAAGTAATAAAAACACCAATTACTAGTTTAGAAATTCTAGAGGAGATCCAAAACATTTTAGAAGCAGCTTACTTTATGGTCCACTGATAAAGCCATTGGTTCTTTGCCTCGACAAAGAACGGCTCTTGAATCACCACAATTTGCAACTATGATATGAGATGAACATATTAGAGCAACAACTGCAGTGGAACCAACGGTTTCTGGCGCAACAGCTTCATTATTAGCTGTTCCTCCAACTTCAGCATCAACCTTTAAGAAACAGTTGGTGAATGCTTTTTTCCACTCATCTTGGCAACTTTCCACGGAACTTCCATTAATTAAACCTTCCTTGACGAATTCTATTTCCTCAGCCAAGGCCATATGGATGCGTTCCCGACAATAATTTGCCACCTGAATCAGAAAAACAAACTCTACTTGAAGCGAAATTCAGAGAAAGCTAAAATCAACTAACACAAGATAACTAAACTTTACCTGAGAACCACCATGACCATCATATACTCCGAAGAAATGAGTCATCTGCGGCCTAAAACATCGGTTTATTCCGTCAGGTACTCGATCACCCATTAACATCTGAATTGGAATCTTCAAGAATTGAGGAACAGTTGCAAATGCGTCTTCCATTTCAGGCCTTCTTCCACATAGCGATATGAATCCCCATAACGGAGTATAATCCAAATCAAAAACACTCCGGACAACTGTTACACTCGTTCCCTCTTCCTGAGGCAGCTGATGATCAACAACAACTGTAGTAGGCTTTAGGTCCGACTCAACTCCAATCTCTTGGTCAAGACTCACTGCCACTGCAAGGGATTCACTCATAATATCCGTGTCAACATTCGACTCCCCCAAATCAGCAGCGTGAGCAACAATATTGACAGGACCGACAGTCTTCTCTACATATACCGAACGCGGTGTCCCAACTTCTGAATTAGCATCAGAAGCAATGAACTCTTCTCCACCTATGCTACTGTTCTCACTGACAACCGATAAAGAACACGAACTATCAATAAACTGTTCACCTTCCAACGATAACGTATCATCCTCCTCGCTTTCTGGAACCAACGCTAAATCACTAGACACCAAATCACTTTTATTTTGGGATATCATTTCCATCAAAGGACTTTCTCCTTCCCTATCCAATTCCGGTGCCGTGACTTCTGTGACGCCTATTTCAACATTACGACTATAGTCTGAACCTACAACTGTCTCGGTGGAAACCTTAGTTACAGAATTAGACAACGACCCTGCATCTGACATTACCTTAAATCTGGATAAATCCATGTGTGTAGCTAAGACTGAGTTATCACAGACGAAGTTACCTACTCGTAATGGCACGGGAACCACATACAATAACTCTTCCATTGAAATCCCTATCTAGATAAAACAAAAAGTTAACCTCCCACCCCTTTGATATCACAAAACCTTTCATGTTTCAACTAATTGATCACATGTCTTTCTGATTGAAAAGGTTCCTAAAATCTGAAAACTAACATTTTCCATTCCTAAGGAGACCCTATATAGCAAAATAAGAACCGAAATTCAATCAATATACAAAGCATGAACTAGCTACAAGATTGCTGAAACAGAATTGAAGTAATCAGATCTGGTCAACAATAATGGATCCAAACTTCCATTTCAAGAAATTTTAACCAGAAATAGCTATTGCCACAACCCTCTTGTGTCTACCTTTGTCACCTATAGGAAGAACAATGGAAACAACCTGAAAACATGTAAAAATACAAACTTTATCTACATGTAAACAAATTGCACTCAAGAAAACTAAACCCCACCAATTAAAAAGAGACAAATTTAAAAAGGGATGAAAAAAACACCAACAACAACCCTTATCTGCAAACACAAGAAAGAACAAACAAGTCATGAGAAAGAAACCATAAAAAAGTGCAAACTCTCAAGAATCACAAGAAAGCCTTAAAAAGATGATACCTTTTTCCAACTTGCCTGGATCTGAGGCAACACATCACAGACTAGCAATCTCAATAGTCGCCATCATCATCATTATTATTATTATAACACAATCAAATCAATCAATGAATGAAAGAAAGTATATAAGATAAAGAGAAAAACAAACACAAACTAGTAAAAAAAAAGTGTCACTAGAGTAGAGACTAGTACCTAATTTTGTCAACGGTTGTAGGGTCTCGTTTGTTCACTTCTCCAACTATCTTTTCTCTTCTCTCTCTTGTTGCTTCTTCTCACATTGACACCTGAAACCCATGAAATGGGAAAAAGAAACATAGCATCATTAATTAACCTTAAAATAAAATAAAAAAGACATAGTTGTTTGTTTTTTTGCTTACTTTAATAATCTTGACCCATTAAATGGTAACAGCTCAGTTATGTTGTTTTCTTTGGTCGAATAATGTATGAATATAATATATGGTGATTATGATATATATGCATACCTGAGTGATGTGTGGATGGCTAAAGGATGAGAAAGATGACATGTAAAAATTGTATTTTTGTAATTAATTAAAGAATTATGAAAGTGTTAATGTTATTTGTAGTTGAGAATATGAAAATGGTTTGAAAAAGTGACAATAATTTAAATGGAAAGTTTTGGAGTAGTAGAGTGTGTGTATAGTGTGAGAGAGAAGGAAGAGAGTTGACACATGTCAAATCTTGAAGAGCATATTAAAGCTTCCCCACTCATCATTCCATTATATTATGACGATGTGTTGGCTTTTGCATCCTTTCATCTTTAGAGTGATATATTGTGGAATGTAGATTCATTGGAGTCATTGATGCAAAATACAATTTCAAAATTGGTTACATATAAATTCAAACAACAACTTATATAAAATTTGAAAGTCAAAAATGAATAATTTGTAAATATACTCTAAGCATATTCTCTTAGCATGACATATTCTGTAGATTGTCTTCAGCTTATTTCTTTGTAATTAATATTATTTACTCTAAGCACACGATTACACCAAATACCTCTTGTTTTTAGGAATAGGATTATTTCTATTTTTTCTCTCATATCCTCTTTCATGTGTGTTGTACTCCAAAATTTGTCCTCTCATATTTTTTAAGATCTTCTCTTATATGAGTGGTTACAAACACTTGCTTGAAGAAAATACAACTTTTGAAGATAATCAAGTGTCTTTCGATTGACATTTGAACAAGGTATTTCGATTAGCATCTGAACAAGCTTAGATTAGGCGTTGGACCTCCTTCGATGCAAGCCTGATTCACAAGCTTCGATTGAGTGTTGGGCATCCTTCGATCAAGCTTTGGATCCACAAGTATCATTCCAGCAGTGTCCTCTGTGCGTGCCTTCAGCGCACTAGGCAAATACTCCTTTTAGACGTGCCTTCGGCGCACAAGACAAGAACCCCCTACAAGTTTGTTTCGATTCACCAGCAGTGGACTCCTGCATGCAAGCCTCGCTTAGGAAAAGGCTTCTTCAGACTTGCCTTTGATCCACAAGGCAAAGGCCTCTTCATGCTTGCCTTTGATCCACTAGGCAAAAGCTTCCTCATGCTTGTCTTAGATTCACAAGGCAAAGGCCCATCAACTTGCCTTCGATCTACAAGGCAAAAGGCCCCTTTCACTAGTCTTCAATTCATAAACAATGGCTATCTAGCTTCGAATGGGCAGTGTTTCTTCATGTTTGCCTTTGATCCACTAGGCAAAAGTTTTCTCATGCTTGCCTTGGATTCACAAGGCAAAGGCCCATCAACTTGCCTTCGATCCACAAGGCAAAAGGCCCCTTCCGCTGGTCTTCGATTCACAAAGCAATGGCTATCTAGCTTCGACTGGACATTGTTTCTTCATGTTTGCCTTTGATCCATTAGGTAAAAAGTTTCCTCATGCTTGCCTTGGATTCACAAGGCAAAGACCCTTCAACTTGTCTTCAATCAACAAGGCAAAGGTTTCCTCTTCATGCCTACCTTCGTTTCACAAAGCACAAGATTGCTACATTATGAACACATTGGTGGCCCATTCGAAGAAATGCACAGGGCATACATGTGGGCTATTCGAAAGACACACAAAAGGGCCATTCGAAGGATATACATGTGGTCCATTCGAAGGAGACACAAAATTATTGAAAATAAGTTTGTCTTGTGATGAGTCTTGGTCCAAGTTGCTTGCTGACCAAGGTCCTACATGTTGCCAAGCCCAAGCCTCATACGCAATTGCATTCGAAGGAAGTGACAAAGGAAACTTCGACTGGCCAGAGTGAAGTGTTCGATTGGGCTAGTTGGAGTCATTCGAATGAGGCAACTTTGGGCCAATCGACGAGCAAGGATTAAGGGTATTCAAAGGAGTCAAATGTGGCCAGGTTCACCCCAAAGCTCAAAGGGATGAGAACTCATCAAAAAAGGCAATCTCTTAATGTGTAAAGCTTAGTTAATAGTTGTCCCTTGTCATTTCTATGCCATGACCCTCTCTCCATCTCCTATAAATACACGACACTTCTACAAGCCAAATATACACGCACACGCTGCCTCATAAGCCACACCAAAATTCTCAAAAATCTCATAAGTGGTCAAAGTTCAAAACACCCTTTGTAGGCTTCTTCAGTCTGATCGAACACCAGATTCGTGTTCCCGAGACATTCAGGAGTCCACACCAGCTCCTAAGCAAGCATCTCCACGCCCAAGGCCATAAAATCTACGAATCTCTGATTGGTAAGGATGGTAAAATCGAAGCCCCATGTTTGTTACATATTATTGTTTTAATCATTCAACTTGTGTTCAGGATTATCATTAGTGCAGGTTTAACAAGCTACATGTAGGTGTAGGCGCAAGGATGAGATTGTGCTATTGTTAAGGAACGATCTGAGTTTTTCTTCCTTTGAATCTAACTTAGGACACTTTAGGCCAAACAGATCTCAAGTTTGGAGTCAGGGGAATTCGAATTAAGGGTATAGGTTTGGTTTGGATCTCCACAATTTGTTGTGTTGTTCTTTGCAGGTTCGATTCTGCAGAGGTAGGACCTGGGTTCGATACCCAGGTCATGCATGTTATTTTACTAACGCTTCATTTGCAGATTCAATGCTGACATGGCCCAGGTATGCACCATACATCCTTTGATCCTCACCATGTGATCTCAATGCAATCCAGATCCAACGCCCCCAAATGTGCAGCCCATCATGCACCTTCGACCAACTACTTCATTGGATCGAAAGGCAATTTAGATCTCTTTCGATTCAGACTTGCATTCCAAACTGCATTTTTTTTTGTTTTATTTACCGCCTAGCCCATTTATTTAGTCTTTTTCTTCATTTTATTTCTTCTAGTTAATCAACATTAAAATATAAAAAAATCATAAAAATATTAAGTTAGTCATTTTTTTATTAAATTAACTTGGGAAATTAATGGCAAAATACTCATTTTGGTCCCTTAACTATACCCTTGGGTTCATATTGGTCCCTTAACTTTTTTTTGTGTCATTTTGGTCCCTTAACTTTCAAAAAGTTTCATTTTAATCCTTTTTGTCTAAATTCGTAGCTAATTAGACGGAAAAACTTTGAAATCAGCCGTTAAATTCGTAGCTAATTAGACAAAAAGGACTAAAATGAAACATTTTGAAAGTTAAGGGACCAAAATGACACGAAAAAAAGTTAAGGGACCAATGTGAACCCAAGGGTATAGTTAAGGGACCAAAATGAGTATTTTGCCGAAATTAATCAAATAATAACTTTAACTTTTTTCTTTAATTTTAAAAAATAAATAGACCTAGGATTTAATTCATTTAATTTCTTTTATTCATAATAAAAACAAATAAAAAAGGATTTTAATCTCTTAGGATTTTTTTAGACGTTTTTTTCCATTTCGCGCGCGTTTACATTCATATTATTGTATTTGTATATTGGATGTAATAAAATTAATTAGAACTTTTACTGTTTTATTTATTTCCTCCCCATTTTTGGAATTGTAATAATCCCCCTCCCCGAAGCCTTGTAATAGCTAGGTTTTATATTTCTGCATTTTTAATTACTGCAATTATTAACTACTAGATGTATGGTAATAGGATTGTATGGCAAGAAATTAAAAGTAACGATAGCAAACCTAACACAAAAGACAAAAATAACTGAATACAACACACTTGCACATATACACCTCTAGGGCACTCCCACTTTAGTTGCCTTCGGAAAATAAAACAATCATGCCCCTCGAAAGTGGGGATGCTTTAGAAAAGACCCTCGAATTAAAAGATCATAGTCCATCGATGACCCTTCGGTGTTGCCTTTCGATAAATGATCTAGTCCCTTAAACAATATTGCTAAAGCGTCTCTATATGTTGCCTTTATGACTGTACGATGACCCACGAATGTCCCTCATACATCCAAACGACTATGGCTACCTACTCACTAATAGTAGTATAGCACTGTC